CGTTTTCTCATGAATATGTGAGAGTTTAGGGCTACAGGGTCTGAGTTTCCAGCTGCTCGTGGACTTGCCTGGTTCTGAGCCGTGATCCACAGCGGCAGCACTCCGTTGTCCCACCACTCCGACCTCTTCAGGGTCTCTTTGAAGGGAACTTTCAGGTTTGTTGTTTCGTTGAACATTAAGTTGTGGACAACTTCGTGGTCTTCAATCCATCTACCTGAGACGAGACATTTAGCTCTGTGATTCTGAAATGACTCTGTGCTCCACTGTAATGCTGCCATCTGGTGGTCAGATTTGGCTGTTCAGTGAAGCAGTGGTGATCAGATTGAATTCAGGTAAATTGGGCCATTTAAAGATTTACTTAGCGTCATTTTTATGCTTAGTTTAAATATTTTTTGCTTACTAAATATTTACTTGCATCAGTATTCAGTCTCCATTTTTCACTGTGACTCAGCATAATCTCTAACAGGGGGCTCGTCCGGGATTGAAACATTATGCTTCTTTACTGCCCCTGAAGGACTCATCATCATGATGATCATGTAAAATTTAACTTGTGTGCAACTAAACAACATGGGTACCAAACACACCAGTTCAGTCCCAGTAACACAGGTTTTAGTTTTCAGCCAACAAATGGTGCCCCCTGCTGGAGTTCAGTTGACTCATGTTCACAATATTGTATCTGAAGCAGTGAGTTTAAAGTTCTTCACAACTAAACTTATTCTGTCTCTGACGGACGACGTCAATAAAACGATTTGTAAACTAAATCAAATCCGTTTGCAGAAAGATGGATTTCATATTGATCTTCTTTTTATAGCCTTTTTTATTAAATAAGTGGCAACATTAAACAAAAACAAATACTTCAGCAAATTGTTCTGCACAAAAATATATATTTTTCAAGAATCTGAATTGTATGACTCTTATAGAGCCGGAAAGTTTCTCCATTTAAACATTTTCAGGCCTGCTGAGGTGAAAATCCAGTGATTCAACAAAGAGTCGCATTTAAATGAAAACCTTCACTTCCTGTTTGATCAGCAAACATCTGATTGTATCTAATGCAGCCATAAATCTCCACTTAGTGAAGGAAGATGAACTCAACCAGCTGATAACGCTGATAAGCAGTGATCAATAATCCAGAAATAATCTAAGAATACAGGATTAGATTACATTTCTTTTCCTATAAGCTGTTTCTGGTCTGCAGCGCTTCAGGACCGGATCATTTTCAGACTGGAGTCCAGCTCCTTCTTTATATCTAACAAATTCAACGTCAAACGTTTGTGCAGCAAAAATTTTCATTTTTTATTAACATTTTAAACATGCTAATAAAAAACATCAAAGCAGCACAAACACAACCTTTTCTGCTCAAACAGTCGGGTTGTTTGACATCAGTTTTGTCTGATTTGAAGAAGTTTGAGGGTGGTTGACCTTTCCTGACCTCTGGAAACATTTGTATTAATATCTTTAAAATTTTTGCTGCACAAACCAAAACGCTTGACGCCAATTTTTGTAGATTAGTAGAAGGTGGAGCGCCGACAGCCTCAGGAGGATTGAGACCAAAGCGCTTTGTTTCCAGTGGTTTAATGAAACCGTTTGGCTGACAGAAGAACCGAAACCTGGTTCCTGAACCTGATTTCCTCCGAGCCGTTCTGGGACTTCACGTTTGGTTTCTGTTGCTCTGTCCTGAAATGTCAGTTTCCCCCTGGAGGACTGACAAAGCTCTTCTTCTTCTTCATAACTAATTGTTGCTGTAATTACGTTTGGCTTAAGGCCGTCCGGCGGCGCTCCAGACCTGTGATGGTGGTGAAGTGTGACGGCGATGTCATGGTCATCATGGGGGGGGTGATGTATTTGGCCTTGACCCCGTCCATGGCCATGCGGTCCAGGTGCGGCGTGTCCACGTCGTCCTGGTCGTAGTCCCACCTGAACCCGTCGAATGACACCAGCAGCAGCTTGGTCTTCTCCTCCTGGCTGCTCAGCGGCTTCCCACCGATGCCGCTCGCCGCCACGAGCACGAGGAAGATCTCCAGCCTCATCTTCAGCCTCACTGCAACTGCCTGGCGCTCGGCCGGCGCTCACCTGTGCAGGTGACCCTGGTTAATGAGTAGTAAGAGTTCCTGATACAGATCTGCTGATGGGGGATCAGACCTTTGACTGTGAACTAACGGGTCTTATCCGAACCGACTTTAATGATTAGATGGACTTTGAAAGCTGCTCATTGGTGTTTATACATCTGGACCAATCAGATTCTTAAAGCTGATATTTTGATCAATAATAAGACCAGAGAATCTGAAGTTCTGTCCTGTGATGGACTGACCTGTCTCCAGGCAGACGAGGAAGAACAGAGAGAATTAAAATTTCTGGCAGTAAATTTTCCACAACAAGTTTTTATAAGACAATATTTCATCGATTTAATCTCAATTATCACACCTGTAGCTCTTAATTTGCTCTGTTTATGCTCAAAAGAGATTTATATAAACTTTAACAGCTTTACTATTAACTTGAGTTGATCTCACGAGCCTTCAAAGAAAATTAATCCTTTATTTTGAAATTACGTCTTTTATTTTGTCGTTAAAAGTACCGGAAGCGCTTCTTTACGCTCTAAAGGACTTCCTGTCATTCGCTGCGGCGTGATGTCCTTCATTTCAGTGTGAAATGAAATGTTTTTATCGGGTTCTGGATTCACAGTAGTGTTCGGTTCGGACTGGTTGTTCTGGGTCATCTGAGCAGGTTTGTAGCTTTAGACGACGGAAGAGTCGGAGTAAAAGCTAACAGGTTAGCTAACCTGTTAACTAACAGCCGTTAGCTTAACCAGACTCCATGAAGAGAAATGTGTTTTACCTGATAAAATGCTCCAGAGGAGACTTTAGAAAATAACTTACATTCTGTAGGTGTTTCTTCATAATTCGGGATGTTTGAACAGATTTTGAACTATTGAGACATGAGGCAGTGAATCCAAGCAGGAATAATCTGATGACTGGTTCTGGACCGGCCTTGAAATGAGCTTTGGGGAAATCTGAAATGATAATATGGGTCAGATTTATTCTATTCTAAATATTTCTGGAGGGAGACTTAGGGATTGTCAGGACATTATGAATAAAGGATCATTTCAGGAGCGGAGATGATTTAATCCTGTGTGGTTTGGATCTGATCCGGTTCTGAGTTTGATGGTTTTGGTTCCAGGAATGTCTTCCCTCTGGAGCCTCAGACCGGCGCTGGAGCTGCTGGTTCACGGTGAGTTTCCTCCTGCAGGCTGAAGATGAAAATGTTTTTCTGCTTTGGACAGAAACTGAAACAATATCTACAGAGAAATGCTGGAATTCTTCTGGGTAAAACATGAGCAGCTCTCTGTGTCTGCAGCGACCCGGGTCTCCTCTTCCTGGACCGGGCCGCTCCTCTCCAGAACCATGGCTACTCTCAACCAGATGCACCGCCAGGGGAAGCCCAAGGTTCCCCCTAAAACTCTGGGCGCCACATTCGGCCGGCCACAGCTCAAAGCCGTCGTCCTGAAGACGATGATCCGGAAGCCCAAGAAGCCCAACTCAGCCAACAGGAAGTGCGCCCGCGTGCGGCTGTCCAACGGGAAGGAGGCGGTGGTGTTCATCCCCGGGGAGGGACACAACCTGCAGGAGCACAACGTGGTTCTGGTGCAGGGGGGCAGAAAACAGGACCTGCCCGGAGTCAAACTCACTGTGGTTCGAGGAAAATATGACTGTGCTCACGTGGTGAAGAAGAAGCAGTAGATGAGGCCCACAATGCTGCCGGATTCATGTTTGATAATCAATGATCAATAAAAACTGTTTGGTTCCACACTTGAGTTGATTTTGCCTGAAACTGAACAAGACTCAATCTGCTATTAATAATGAAAGAAGTTTGTCAGCTAGAAGGTTTCAGACTTAATTAGCTCTCACCTTTATGGATTTGACTACATAGAAACACACACATATATAAACATATGTATATATATATATATGTTTGTATGTATCACAATGTTTTTCATATTACATGTGAAATGTATAGATTCATTTGTACTGATTTGGTTTGATTAATGTTCTGAGTATTCTTTCAGAAAAGGATCTTTGAGACTTTACACTCCAGTTAATTAACTGATTACTAAACTAGCTGACAATTATTTCAATAATTGGTTCATAATTATTGAAGTAATTATTTATGGATGTGAATGTGAAGAGCAGCCAGTTCATCCAACAGGCTGAATACAGTCTAAATATGATCGGCATGAGTTCATTTTACTGCCAGTGTTGATTTGTTTAGAGGTGTAAACATCTGTATCTGCAAACACATCAAAGACAAACAGAATTTACTTTGACTAGACAGAGGTCAGAACTGACTTATATTTCAGAAATACCACAGCAACAATATTCAATGTCACTTTTATTCATATTGAACTTTATAACAGAAATGCTCCAAAATGCAAATAAAATAAAAATAATGTTGAAGTCATAGCATAAAACTCACCTCAAGCAAAAGCTAGTGAATTTCTGAAACTGATCCATATTCTGAGCAGATCTGACATGAAGAGGAAAGAGGAGAACAACAAACACAACTCCTGCTTTTTAACTTCTTTTAACGCCATTAGTTTTATTCTGTAACCTGGTTGCTCTGTATTGCAGATTTCTGCCAAGGTCACTGTTGAAAATGAGATCCAGATGTTAGTGGGGTTTATCTGGTTAAATAAAGGAAATTCCTTGAAAAAATAACTTTCTTCAGTATTAACAGTATGAAACAGTTCCTGAGTCTGCAGGCAATGACAGACTAAATGTGTCTTTAAAGTGTTTCATTCATTTAAATATTTGTCTCAAAAACAAATATAGATCTCCTCTTAGGTAAATCATCACACTACCATACAAAACATAAGTAAAAATGTTCTTACTTTGTTATTTGGAATAAAAAATAAAATTTACATTCACTTCTAAAAGGAAATTAATTTTACTGTTAATACCGCTTCGTTTGTTGTTGTAGTACCGCCCTCCTGCCGGTGGTGGCAGCATTGAGCCCGTGAGCTCCAGTTTCTACGTTTTTACTTGCAGTTGTTTCGGTTCTGGTTTCATTCTTGTCTGCTGTCGTTTATAGAAAACCTCCAACATGAAGCCCCGGATCTCTGAAACTCGTTAACTGACGGTTTACGTCTTTAAACGAAACAAACTGGACCTTCAACTGTCGGAGCCTCTCGAACTGTTCCTGTTAGCTCCATGCTAGCTGCTCGGGCCGGTGAGCACCGGATTTCTGACGGTAAAAGAGGCAGTTGTGGATATTTTTCGGCTACAGTTACTTTACATTCTGCTGCTGTGGTTTGCTTCTGATTTTGCGCTGAGGCTTAATGAAGATAAATCAGCTTTTATTAGCTAATTAGCTGGCGGCGTAATAGTGATAGCTGTTAATGCTCTCTGATTGGCTGAAATGATCTCCATTGTGTTCTCTGATTGGCTGAAGCTCTGTTTGTTGCCAGATGGTTTAAATAATGGTTAATGTGGTTCATTTATCTCAATAAAAATCTCAATAAACCACAAAGGAGAGTCAGTATGTTGCCTTTAACAGCTGGAATATTTTATATTGTGATGATTAGTATTGTTTATTTATTAGATGTTGTTGCTGTAAAGCACCTTTTCATTTGAGTGCTTTAAAATCACATGTTTGAGATCAAGCTGTGATTTCTGTTTCTTTATCCTTCAGAGAAATGTGTGTTTTTCCAGAGGCCTAGATGAGAGAAGATGATGAATGAAGTGAAGGTGGAAGAGGAGGAAGGAGGAGACGAAGGTCAGAGCTGCATTCACCCCAAACATCACTAACAGCAGCACATCTGGGGCATTCTTAGTAGTTTCTACCCTTATTATATTTTGTAGACACTAAGTCAGGAGAAAAGAGCTGAACTGGAATAACTGCAGGTGGATGGAACAGGAGGATCTGATAGGAGGAGAGACAGGTGGGATCTGCTCTGACGTGGCTCCTGATTGGTGGAGCTGCTCAGGTTCCAGCCTGAGAGAGAGAGGAAGAGTAGAGCTGCAGGAAGAAAAGAAGGCGGCCATTTTCAACTAATACATTGATAACGGCATAAAGTGAAAGTTCAAGACAATAACCTTTAATTAAACAGAAACATTAAACTGGAAGACATTTTAAACATACAAAATAAAAGGCAGAAACCGGAAATAAAACAGAAATAAAAACCAAACAACTGAAACCATCAGTGAAACAGATTAAAGGTGAAAACAACATTTTCTTTCAAGAATAAGGAGCTGAGATGTTAGTTTTACAATTTGTTCGATCAGAACGTTTTAGAAAGATGAATGATAGAAATGGGAAAGTCTGCAAAGAACCGGATCAGAATCTGGTCCGGTTCTGTTTAGATATGATCAGAACTTCTGATCTGGAGCGTGAAAGTTCTGATCGGGTTTTGGTCCTGATGCATTCTGATGGTGTTCCAATTGGGTTCTGGTTCCTTCAGGCCCGCAGATGCCTCCTGACCATCAAAGTTTCTGCTCTACTCCAGAACCGGCCTCTGACCAACCCAAACCCAAACGGCGCCACTGCTGCTCGCTGTGCGGCCGGGAGTTCGCCGGCCCGGCCCGTTTGGCCGACCACGTTGCCACCCACTACGGCTACAAGCCGCACAGCTGCTCTGTCTGCGGGAAGCGCTTCACCAAGAAGGTGAACGTGTTGGTGCACCAGCGCGTCCACACTGGGAGAAACCGTACTCCTGCCCCGACTGCGGCGTCAGCTACGCCCAGCGCGGCTGCCTGCGCCGCCACCTCCTCATCCACTCCCCGGAGAAACCCTTCAGCTGCTCCTTGTGTGGGCGTGGCTTCGTCCAGCGCCGCTACCTGGTCCAGCATGAGCGCACCCACACGGGGGAGAAACCGTTCTCCTGCTCGCTGTGCCCCAAACGCTTCGCCTCCCGCAGCGGCCTGTCCGACCACCTGAAGACCCACCAGGAGCAGAAGCAGCATTCCTGCTCGCTCTGCGGGAAAAGCTTCTCCTCCGCGTCGTCGTTCCGGGATCATGTGAGGAACCACACGGGACGCAAACTCCACCCCCTGCTCACTGTGTGGGAGGAGCTTCAACCGGCCGAGTCTCCTGAAGAAACACCTGCAGAAACACCTGCAGAAACATGCAGATGGAACCCTGGAGAAGGTCAGAGGTCAATTAGTGGAAATGAATTAGTGGAAGCTAATGGTAAAGTGTGAACCATTCTGCTAATGCATCATACCAATATGTAGCTATTGAAAACCAATGCTGTACGGCTAACATAAATATTAATTTCTATGCATTTTATCAACATGCTGTTTGTGTATCTAAATTATGTGCAACGTCAAATCTGTCATTGCACCGACCTGCTGAGTTTTGCTAACTCTGCTGCTAACTAGCCACCGTAGCGCTTCAGTCAGAAAGCATGAGGAGAGTTTAGACTGTTCACTGTGGACGTACTGCAATGCATTCTGGGTAGAGAATGACATCATTCACTTTATCAGTGAAGAATTTGGGAAGAGGAACTAGAGTTCATCTGTAATCATACTTCAAAATAAGAGCATGCGTGAATATAAACTACTGCTCTGAATTCCTAAGTGCTACTAACCAAGACCTGACACAGATGTCAAACTTTATTGAAATGAAAGTTTTCCTCATAGCCCAGGAAATCAGCTCCTTCAAATTTATCTAGGAAAACTGAGTGAGAGAAGCTAAATGTGCTAAAGTTAGCAAGCGTGCTAAAGCGCTAAGCTAAAACTTCTCTGATCCTGCAGGAAGAAGCTGCCCTCCATTGCTTCCTCTGTCAGGAGCATTTCTCCTCCGTCAAAGAGGCGAAGGATCACGAGCGGCGGTACCACGCCGCGACCCGGTTCTCCTGCGACGTCTGCAGCCGCTCGTTCACTCGCTCGTCCCGGCTGAAAGACCACCTGCGCTCCCACACGGGGGAGCGGCCGTTCCAGTGCGACGTCTGCAAGACGCGCTTCACTGTGCTGAGAGCGCTGAGGAAGCACCAGGAGATCCACAGCCGGCCGAACCACCGGCCCGACACCGTACCGTCTGGCGGTCCGGATCCGCCAGAACCGGTGAGGAGGGAGAAACTGCAGGGTTTGAACGTTAAACTCCAGCTGATTTAAAGGGCAATATTATGTGTTTTCTATTTTATAGCACAATCAGGTCTGTTACCTTCAGTTGTTATGAAAATGTTGACTTTATTAATATGACAAAAAAAGTTATTCCTGATTTACCACCTTGAAATGGTCCTCTGTCTCTTTAAACTCCTGCTTTTCCTTAGGCTCCGCCTCCAGGAAGTCATCCCAACATGGTTCCTCTATTAACACAAAGTTGCTCTGAGCAGCAGCTGCTTGCTAATTGCTGCTGGCTAGTCTGAAGGAACTGAGTGGGGAGGAGCTAAGCCTTGGAGGCGCATGGACCAGAACAGTTCCTATGGGTTTGGATCTGAACTCCCTGCTGGTTCTGGTTCAAACCTGTTACCTTCTGTTGGTTCCAGATCCCAGACAAGCCTCTGGACAGAACCAGCGCGCCCTGCAGGTGGAGAGCCGCAGCAACGAGTCACTGCCTTCACTGACTGGTGAGAAAATCACAACTTTGGCTTCAGGGAGCGTTTGGGTCCAGAAGTCTGTCGGTTGTGTTGGGTTTGTGACTCTTTTACTTGTGTTTTTTGGTTCTACAGAACCGATCCCTGCCAGGACAGAGCCAGAGAAGAACCTGGAGGCCCAGGAAGTCTCAGAAAACCAGCGACCGGAACCGCCGGGCCCAGAGACCCCGACCACCTGCAGGAGTCCGGCGGTGAGGAAGAAGAGAAACCACAGCTGCTGCATCTGCTCCAAGAGCTTCCTGAAGCCCTGCCTGCTACGGGAACACATGAGGTCCATATCAGGGAGGGCCGGCTGCCGGACCCGGCCGACAAGGTGACCAGAACCATCAGAACTGTACGGGTTCACAGTTTCTGTCTGATCCACCTTTCAGTGGTTCAGCTTTGACCTCCAGATGGTTTGATGGAAGAACAATGAGCCAAAACATCAATAGTTTAACCTACATTTTTCAGATTAAAATTTTTCAAGTTTTACAAATTCTATTGTTTTCAAATCACGTTTTACATATTTTGTTTGGGGGGGGGGTCAGTGGGGGGCAGAAAGGCACATTCCTATTTGTCAACCTTGGGAGCTGCGTTCCCATTGGTCAGTGTGGAGCAAAGCCAGTGTCTAAAACAATCAGAAAAACTACAAACTGCGTAAATGTGATGTTTAGTATTGGACCAGATTTCTCTCCGTACTGATCTGGACAGCAGCTGCTTTGGGTTCCATGTTGCTGACCGACCCGGGTTCTGTTCCAGGTGTTCTGGCTCCACATGCGGACCGGCGGCCAGAAGAAGAAAACTGTGATGATGATGAGGAAGGAGGATGAAGGTGTGGAGGAAGAGGTGAGGAACCAGTTAACTCACCAGTCTCCAACTGGTTTAAGGTTCTGGTTGAGCCTGAAACTTCTCCTCATGTTTCCCTCCAGTGCCGACCCGGTGACCTCTCTACCTCTGACCCCGTCCTCGTGCCTGGCGCCGGGCAGCCTGCCGGTAACCATGGCGACCAGGGTGGGAACCAGCGGGAGGAAGAGGATGTCAGCGGTTTGATCAACTCTGATGGAGAGGAAGAGCGCTGGGAACCGGAGCGCCGCGGTACACCACGGTTCTGACCCGGTTCCAACCCGGTTCCGACCCGGTTCACATGGTTCTTCCTGAGGTCCAGATTTCCCAGTAGACTGGTAAAGCAGGCTGGGTCGGTTCTGATCCGGTCCGTTTGTTCATTAGTTCTGAGGTTACTTCCTCGTAGCAAGAGGCTACTTCCTCGTAGCAAGAGGCTACTTCCTCGTAGCAGGAGGCTACTTCCTTGTAGCAGGAGGCTACTTCCTTGTAGCAAAAGGCTACTTCCTTGTAGCAGGAGGCTACTTCCTTGTAGCAGGAGACTACTTCCTCGTACCAAAAGGCTACTTCCTTGTAGCAGGAGGCTACTTCCTTGTAGCAGGAGACTACTTCCTCATAGCACGAGGCTACTTCCTCGTAGCAGGAGGCTACTTCCTTGTAGCAAGAGGCTACTTCCTTGTAGCAGGAGAGTACTTCCTCATAGCAAGAGGCTACTTCCTCGTAGCAGGAGGCTACTTCCTCGTAGCAAGAGGCTACTTCCTCGTAGCAGGAGGCTACTTCCTTGTAGCAGGAGTCTACTTCCTCATAGCAAGAGGCTACTTCCTCGTAGCAGGAGGCTACTTCCTCGTAGAAAGAGGCTACTTCTTCGTAGCAGGAGGCTACTTCCTCGTAACAGGAGGCTACTTCCTCGTAGAAAGAGGCTACTTCCTCGTAGCAGGAGGCTACTTCCTTGTAGCAGGAGACTACTTCCTCATAGCAAAAAGCTACTTCCTCGTAGCAGGAGGCTACTTCCTTGTAGCAGGAGACTACTTCCTCATAGCAAGAGGCTACTTCCTTGTAGCAGGAGGCTACTTCCTCGTAGCAAGAGGCTACTTCCTTGTAGTAGGAAACTATTTCCTTGTAGCAGGAGACTACTTCCTCATAGCAAGAGGCTACTTCCTCGTAGCAGGAGGCTACTTCCTCGTAGCAAGAGGCTACTTCCTCGTAGCAGGAGGCTACTTCCTTGTAGCAGGAGTCTACTTCCTCATAGCAAGAGGCTACTTCCTCGTAGCAGGAGGCTACTTCCTCGTAGCAGGAGGCTACTTCCTTGTAGCAGGAGGCTACTTCCTCATAGCAAGAGGCTACTTCCTCGTAGCAGGAGGCTACTTCCTCGTAGAAAGAGGCTACTTCCTCGTAGAAAGAGGCTACTTCCTTGTAGCAGGAGGCTACTTCCTCGTAGCAGGAGGCTACTTCCTCGTAGAAAGAGGCTACTTCCTTGTAGCAGGAGGCTACTTCCTCGTAGCAGGAGGCTACCTCATCTGAAGCTGCCAGTTCGATTGATGGAGCAGCACTGATAGCTGAGGAGGAAATCAGTTAGCATTAGCTTAGGAGGAGCTAGTGACTAGCATGGCTACTTCATCTGATGGCTGTTAGCCGTGATAGCCTAGCATTAGCTGTGGGTAAGCTACTGTTAGCCTTCTATAGGATAATTTTAGTACTGAGATTCTATGTTTAGGAATGAATTGACTCAGGACCGGATCAGAACATTATCAGAGGTCAGAGGTCACTGAAGTCTTTCTGAAATGCGTCAACAGAGCTTCCATATGGCAGCGTGTCAAACCCGGCAGCTCCTAACCGACCCTTTGTGTTTCCAGCAGGTCCAAAGATCAGCTCCGACCCGGCAGCAGACGGCCGCTCCACGGGAAAATCCAAGAGCTGCTGCCCGGTGTGCGGCCGCGACTGCTTCAAGGCCTCTGCGCTGCAGAAGCACCTGCGCATACACTCCGGCGAGCGGCCCTTCCAGTGCCCCACCTGCAGGAAGAGTTTCGTGCAGCACGTCCACATGACGGAGCACCAGCGCATCCACACCGGCGAGAAGCCCTTCACCTGCGCCGTCTGCAGCAAGAGCTTCACCTTCTCCAGCGCCCTGCGCCGCCACCAGCGCGTCCACACCGACACCCGGCCCTTCCGCTGCGCCCTCTGCCCCAAGACCTTCAAGCAGCTGTGCGTTCTGAAGAACCACCAGCTGACGCACTCGGGCGTCCGCTACCAATGCCCGCTGTGCAGCAAGAGCTTCAGCCGCGCGCTGGAGCTCACCTACCACATCGACGTGCACTCTGACGCGCAACCCTACTACTGCAGCGTCTGCAAGAAGAACCTGAGCGGCGCCCGCATCTTCAGGAAGCACATGAGGAAGCACGAATCCGACAAGCCAAAGCTCGACCCGGCGGCGGCACAGTCCACCAAAACCCAATGAGGTCACCTCGACAGATTCACTGCTAAACTTCCTACAGGAGCTCAGAAGGGCCAAACAAAGCAGAGACTCCGGTCTGATGGGTCGATGCCTTGCTCAAGGGCACGGTGAGAGACCGGCCAAGACGAAATAGTCAGATTCTCCACAATAAAAATTTGATCCAAATGAAAGTTTCTGATGAAGAGTTTGAATCTCATTGATCCAGAGGTCAGAGGTCATTTAATTACCAATAACTTCCAGATTGGGGTGTAAAAGTTCTTCCCTGCTGGTTCCACCAGGCTGGTTCTGTTGTACTGAGGCGTCCACCAGGTGGCGCCGTGCTAGATTCTCTTATTATTACCATTTCCAGTTTCCTGAAGGTGGGAACTTCTCTCCCAGTTCAACCCAAATCTGGTTTCCAGTCTGATTTGCTTTGATTGGGTTGTGAGGTGTGAACACTAACCGACCTCTGACCTCTGGTCCTCCAAACCTCGGTCTGGGTTCGGTTGAAGTGAACTCTGATTCGGTTTGAATCTGAACGCCAAGCGGATCAGAGAGCGCTCCAAAAGCAGGAAGTGGACTACAGCACAGGGCATTCTGGGTAAGTACAGCCAAAGCTAACATGCTAGCCTAGCGCTTCTGGTCTTCAGTCAAAGACTAAAGAGAAATCTTGACGCCTCCATCTTGTTTCCATCGGGTGAAGCAGGAAGTTGCTCTCAGTGTCTACAGAGGTTTTTTGTGTCGTTTCCTTCAGTGGTTCTTTATGCAGCGCCCCCATAGGCCAGGAGGGGAACAGGTTGTAGTTCTGATTCCAATAGAACTGGACCAACAGGAGGGGAAGATGTCCTAAATTATTATTAATTGTCTCAAAATGATGTCAGATGGTGGCTGATTTCAGATCTGGTCACGTTTGCTTGGATCTCATTATTCTCCATATTTAACCTCCTGGCAGAAAAGCAGCTAAAGTCTCTGAAACGTTTAGTTTCTCTCCAAGCTTCACTAGTTTCTGTTCTTTCCAGACTGGAAACTCATTTTAAGTCCTAATGTGATGAATATGAGGAAGGAAGGACTGCAATGGAAACCAGGCTGAACTCAGATCCACTGACAGGAACTGATGGGGGCAGAAGCTGGTCGGGATCTCCTCCAGCAGGGGGCGCCAGCAGACATTCTCAGTGACTCTGTGGTTCGGGTTCCAGAAGAGGTCAGAACCTCCGGATGGGCTGAAGCTCGGCTCTGATCCAATCAGAGAGTCGATAAGGAAACCAGAATCTACCTCCTGAGAGACAAACCCGCAGCTCCGCCAGGTGGGCGGGGTTAACGCGGTAAGCCCCGCCCCCGCAGGATAAAAGCCAGTTCCTGGTTCTGCTCCTCCAGAGAGCTCTCCTGCCCCAGCATGTTTCCCCCGCTGATGCTCAGCCTGCCCCGCAGCCCGGAGGCCAACACCACGGCGGCCTTGGACTGGACCCAGGTGAGTTCGGGACATGTCTCTGATTCTGCTCTAAAAGCTGCCAAATTATCTGGAAAAGCAGCAAAACCCTCATTATTTCATCTGGAGAAAGGAAGTTTTTCCATTTAATTATTGGAACATCAAATTTAAACTTTTGAAACTTCAGTAAAAAAAAAAAAAGTGGACTTCTTTCATTGGTATAGAAACTATAAACATGTAATGAAGTGTTTCTGGTTCTTTATTTCTTTCCGTTTATTTTAGTTTTAACGCTGTGGGTCATTATTCCCTCCGCACAGACTGACAGGCTCTGGGTCCAGGGAGCCGAACCGGTTCCGTCGCAGCAGATTCTCCTCATTGATCCCTCAATAGTTCACTTTCCTGTTGGATCCAGTAATTGGGATTAACAGCAGTAATCTGGATTATTAAACCTCAGATTTTCACCAAGTTATTCCTTCATTTAGAAATGTTCTGGAATATTTTACCCAAAAACAAAATCCTAAAATGAGCAAAGACTAAATTTAATAGCAGGTTTATGTATTTCATTTGCTAACTGCATATTTAGTGTAAAAGTGAACACCATGCTTTGTAAATATTTCACTTTAGTTATTAAGATAAATATAGTTTAATTATCGAATTAAATATGTAACTAAAGTTTATCTTAATAAAGTTTTTGCTCGATTTAAATATTTTGATTGATAAATTTTCCTTTATGTTCAACTTAATATTTGAGTGAGACGAACGCTTTGGGAGGTAAAGAGAAGATCCGTATCAGCATCGGTTCTGATGGGTTCTGGTCGGTTCTGCAGGGTTCTGGTCGGTTCTGCTGGGTTCTGGTCGGTTCTGCAGGGTTCTGCTGGGTTCTGGTCGGTTCTGCTGGGTTCTGGTCGGTTCTGCTGGGTTCTGGTCGGTTCTGCTGGGTTCTGGTCGGTTCTGCAGGGTTCTGAACGTGCTGTTTTCCCCTGCAGGTGTACGAAGCGGTCCGGTGGATCCAGCTCATCATGGCGTCGTTCAGGTCGGTTCCTCGGATTAAATGACATTTATTTGTTTCTGCAGTGAAAACATTTCAGGAAGGAACAGATTTTAGGCTAATTTTAGCTGTTCTGGACGTCTTGGTCCGGTTCTGGTTCTGCCGGTTCTGGTTCTGGACGTCAAGGTGACGTTTCCATGGCGATGCAGAGGTAGATGAGAAGCAAAGGTCTTTAAAAGATTTTGAAATAAAAGTTACATTTGTTTTTATATTTCATATATTTTATTGAAAGTTTATAGTAAATTTCTTTAAAAAGGACAAAATGTGTAAATGACAGACAGACAGACAAAGTTCCTGTTTGTGCAGAGCTACGATAGTTTCATTTAATTTAGCTAAACTTATGTTAGTTTGTAATTTACCTGAGAAAATATTTGAAAGGATGTTGAGATTTTTGCTCATTTCTTTCATTTCGGCTTCGCTTGCAGTAGTTTCTCCTTGATTTGTGTTTCATCCTGGTTCAGAAACATTCAATGTGTTTTAATATCACTTTTAAACATTTTCTCTGAATATTTGCAGCATTGTTGGCTCTGGCTCCATCATCTCCCTGATTATTCCCAGACTCAGCCAGACGCCCGAGGTCAGTGCCTTCGAGGTCGTCCGGCTGACCTTTGACCTGAGGGGTCAGAGGTCCGGTGTCTGACTGCCGCTGTCCTGTTTGCAGCTGCAGCCTCTGTTCCAGCTGAGCGTGGCCGACCTGCTGCTCGCCGCCTGCTGGCTGGTTGGCGCCGTCCTCTACTCTCAGCGCTGCGACCGCCTGAGCCTGCTCTGCTACAACCTGCACACCGTGGAGCAGGTAACGGCCGCGCCGCCGCTCCGGGGAGTCTGGCGGGATTTCTGGGGAACTTTGAGGGATTTCTATGAGTTTTATCGGGAAGTGGCTCCTTTTTCCTCCTCAAAGCCTTCACTGTTAGAAAATCTCAGCTTCCTCAAACAGAAACCGCAGCCTGGACCCGTCAGAAGCAGCTGCAGGCTGAGCTGCTGGTTCCCACTGAAACATTTCAGTGGATTCAACTCAAAAATCCTGTTTGGTTTCAATGAAAGATGACTATTATGATAATGATTAAGATAAAAAAACAAACGATATTACTTATTTTTTAGGTAACTGAACCACAAACATGAATATTGAAAAACATTTCCATATGAAACAGGATCCTGAAGATAAAAATAAAAAGTGTGATTTTTTTTCACTGAACTAAGATGAAATTTATTGAACAAACTAAATTTGTTCAAACTGTAAAAATAACACAGATTTATTATTTATCATCAGTAACTGAAAATTATCCTACAGTAGATCAAAACTGATCATTTATAACAAAATATGTTATAAATGGTACGACAGATTCTCATCCCTAATTTGAACAACAGCAAATGATGCAAATCGGAGAGTAGTAGGAGAAAGTAGCAGAATGAGAAAAGATCAGTTCAGCCAGGTGTAAAAATAAAGTTTAAAGTGAATAAAATTGATTCAGGTTAAGTTTGTGAGAATTTAGAGGCTGGAGAACATTTTGTTTTTCTGAGATTAAAGCATAAACATTTTGTTTTTAGCTTTAGAAAGTTCCTCTGAAAGTAGAGTTTAGTGTTTTCTGTTTTCAGGTTTTATTTTTGACACCAGGAGCTGAACTGGAAGCTGCTGTCTGGGGTTTTCCCACCGCAGCAGCTTTGAGTTTTACATTTGGCAGATAAATCCTGTGGGGTCAACAGTCAGCCACAGAGGTCAATCACATAACATGAAATATGATATAGATCACATGCCATAAAAAACACATCAACCCCTCATATCAAAATAAAGTGTCGTCACTTGGTTGATGCAGAGGCTGGCCTCACCAGTTGGGGGCGGTAATGTTCCTTCACTTGCATTACAACGAAAAATTCTTAGGTCACTGCGCATGCGTAAACAGGCGCTAAGTGCCGCAAAGCTAGCTCGATAAGGAGTTTTCTCCCATTTCTAACCCTTAAACTTAAAACGTGAATAAAAGTAAATACTGCAGCCGGAAGAAGACAAAAGTGGATGATTTTTAATATATAAATACAGTTGAGTCCATTTTATTTGTTGGCTTATTCCTCCATTTTGTCCTGAGTCGTTGCTCGGTGGTGAAACCGGGTCGGATTCCAGTCCGGGCCCGGCGGTTCCTCTTTCGCTCCGGTATTTGGCGGTTTGGGTTTGGATGTGAAACCCAGAGCTCTTTCAAAGCCATGACGTCATTTTCACTTTACGTGACGCATTCCAAGTTAGAAAGTAAGCAGGACAACAGAACCTAAACTGGACCTCGAGGACGGGAAGCAGGCGGGATCAGCAGGTTCCGGCCCGTTTGGCTCAAACAACCAGAACCTATCCTGAACTGGGTCACTGAGGAGGAAATGGAGCAGCAGGACCAGGACGCAGAAACACGCCTGACCTACATCTATTGTCCGCCCGAGCTGCTGGTTTAACTCGTTACTGTCGGAACCAGACGGACCGTTTTGTTCTGTTTCAGATTCTGTACATGGCCTCCTTCTTCTTCACGCTGAACTACGTGTGGAACCTTTACACGCTGACCAGAGAGAAGTTCAACAGCTGCTTCAGCGGCTACTCCATACAGGTAGCCATATTTGAATGGTAGCCATGTTGAATAGTAGCCATGTTGAATAGTAGCCATGTTGAATAGTAGCCATGTTGAATAGTAGCCATGTTGAATAGTAGCCATGTTGAACGGTAGCCATGTTGAACAGTAGCCATGTTGAACAGTAGCCATGTTGAATAGTAGCCATGTTTGAACGGTAGCCATGTTGAACAGTAGCCATGTTGAATAGTAGCCATGTTGAACGGTAGCCATGTTGAACGGTAGCCATGTTGAACAGTAGCCATGTTGAACAGTAGCCATGTTGAACAGTAGCCATGTTGAATAGTAGCCATGTTGAACGGTAGCCATGTTGAACGGTAGCCATGTTGAACAGTAGCCATGTTGAATAGTAGCCATGTTGAACGGTAGCCATGTTGAACGGTAGCCATGTTGAACAGTAGCCATGTTGAACAGTAGCCATGTTGAACAGTAGCCATGTTGAATAGTAGCCATGTTGAACGGTAGCCATGTTGAACGGTAGCCATGTTGAACAGTAGCCATGTTGAACAGTAGCCATGTTGAACAGTAGCCATGTTGAATAGTAGCCATGTTTGAACGGTAGCCATGTTGAACAGTAGCCATGTTGAACAGTAGCCATGTTGAATAGTAGCCATGTTGAACGGTAGCCATGTTGAATAGTAGCCATGTTGAACGGTAGCCATGTTGAATAGTAGCCATGTTGAACAGTAGCCATGTTGAACAGTAGCCATGTTGAACAGTAGCCATGTTGAATAGTAGCCATGTTTGAACGGTAGCCATGTTGAACAGTAGCCATGTTGAACAGTAGCCATGTTGAATAGTAGCCATGTTGAACGGTAGCCATGTTGAACAGTAGCCATGTTGAACGGTAGCCATGTTGAACGGTAGCCATGTTGAATAGTAGCCATGTTGAACAGTAGCCATGTTGAACAGTAGCCATGTTGAACAGTAGCCATGTTTGAACGGTAGCCATGTTGAACAGTAGCCATGTTGAACGGTAGCCATGTTGAATAGTAGCTCCAGAGCCATATTAAAGATCCATTAAGCAGCAGAAGCTTTAATCAGATTCAACATAACTTTTATTTTATCGTTTTTGTCTTCTTCTGTTTGAAGTGACATTAAAGCTATCTGCTTTCTATGGAAGGCCATTTCTGCCAAAAGACAAAAATAAGAGCCAAACAGGAAGTCATAATTTGAAGTTTTAAAGTTGTAACTATGAGACACTGGATAATCTCATAACAGTTTAACATGCTTTATCTAAACATTATGTTAGCTTTGCTCTGTCAACTCATTCATGTTGACATAGAGTAGCTTTATGTAAAGTTGTCTTTCTATTTCTTAAATAATATTGAAAGGTTGTAAATGTGTTAGCTTGGTTTAGCCTTTAGGAAGAGGAAATCTAAAGCTAAAATGTTCATAAGAAGTATTATTATTATTAAAGAAGCAAACAGTCTTTAAAATGTTTATGTCCATATTTTGCCATAAAACCAGGTGAGCGTTAAACATCTGTTGGTTCCTGGATGAGGTTCTGATTCTTGGCATCTTTTCTTTCCTCAGTTTTCCAACACCATGTCGCTGAAAGCGAAAATGATTGCCGTGTTGTCAAGGTGAGTGCAGGCTGCAACCAGCAGCAGGTGAACCTGGACCGTTCTCCCCCCGCTGACCCGTTTCTCCCGTTTCAGTCTGGTTCCGACGCTGCTCATGGTCCCGGTCTTCGTACAAGGGAACGTCAGCCACTGCCAGGTCAACTTTAGTGAGCCGTACAGGTGAGGACTCGTCTGAGACAGGTTAGCGCGGCGGCGCTGCTGTCCGGAGCTGATGCTGTGTCTGTGTTGCAGGTGTCTGCTGATGCACACCGGAGCGCTGTTCCTGCAGCCGGGGCGGCAGCAGCTCAGCCGCAGCTGCAGCTTCCTGCACACCTACCAGATCGGAGTCTTCCTCAGCAGCTTCCTCCTCACCCTGCTGGGCATCACGGTGAGCTGAGGGGTAGAGGGGTAAAGCCCTGGGTGTATGTAGAGGGGTAAAACCCCGGGTGTATGTAGAGGGGTAAAGCCCTGGGTGTATGTAGAGGGGTAAAGCCCTGGGTGTATGTAGAGGGGTAAAACCCCGGGTGTATGTAGAGGGGTAAAGCCCTGGGTGTATGTAGAGGGGTAAAACCCCGGGTGTATGTAGAGGGGTAAAGCCCTGGGTGTATGTAGAGGGGTAAAGCCCTGGGTGTATGTAGAGGGGTAAAACCCCGGGTGTATGTAGAGGGGTAAAGCCCTGGGTGTATGTAGAGGGGTAAAACCCCGGGTGTATGTAGAGGGGTAAAACCCCGGGTGTATGTAGAGGGGTAAAACCCTGGGTGTTTGTAGAGGGGTAAAGCCCTGGGTGTATGTAGAGGGGTAAAGCCCTGGGTGTATGTAGAGGGGTAAAACCCTGGGTGTTTGTAGAGGGGTAAAGCCCTGGGTGTATGTAGAGGGGTAAAGCCCTGGGTGTATGTAGAAGGGTAAAGCCCTGGGTGTATGTAGAGGGGTAAAGCCCTGGGTGTATGTAGAGGGGTAAAGCCCTGGGTGTATGTAGAAGGGTAAAGCCCTGGGTGTATGTAGAGGGGTAAAGCCCTGGGTGTATGTAGAGGGGTAAAGCCCTGGGTGTATGTAGAGGGGTAAAGCCCTGGGTGTATGTAGAGGGGTAAAGCCCTGGGTGTATGTAGAGGGGTAAAGCCCTGGGTGTTTGTAGAGGGGTAAAGCCCTGGGTGTATGTAGAGGGGTAAAGCCCTGGGTGTATGTAGAGGGGTAAAGCCCTGGCTGTATGTAGAGGGGTAAAACCCTGGGTGTATGTAGAGGGGTAAAGCCCTGGGTGTATGTAGAGGGGTAAAGCCCTGGGTGTTTGTAGAGGGGTAAAGCCCTGGGTGTATGTAGAGGGGTAAAGCCCTGGGTGTATGTAGAGGGGTAAAGCCCTGGCTGTATGTAGAGGGGTAAAACCCTGGGTGTATGTAGAGGGGTAAAACCCCGGGTGTATGTAGAGGGGTAAAACCCCGGGTGTATGTAGAGGGGTAAAACCCCGGGTGTATGTAGAGGGGTAAAACCCCGGGTGTATGTAGAGGGGTAAAACCCCGGGTGTATGTAGAGGGGTAAAGCCCTGGGTGTATGTAGAGGGGTAAAACCCCGGGTGTATGTAGAGGGGTAAAGCCCTGGGTGTATGTAGAGGGGTAAAGCCCTGGGTGTATGTAGAGGGGTAAAGCCCTGGGTGTATGTAGAGGGGTAAAACCCTGGGTGTATGTAGAGGGGTAAAACCCCGGGTGTATGTAGAGGGGTAAAACCCCGGGTGTATGTAGAGGGGTAAAACCCCGGGTGTATGTAGAGGGGTAAAACCCCGGGTGTATGTAGAGGGGTAAAACCCCGGGTGTATGTAGAGGGGTAAAGCCCTGGGTGTAGGTAGAGGGGTAAAACCCTGTGTGTAGGTAGAGGGGTAAAGCCCTGGGTGTATGTAGAGGGGTAAAACCCCGGGTGTATGTAGAGGGGTAAAACCCTGTGTGTAGGTAGAGGGGTAAAGCCCTGGGTGTCAAGGCTTCATTTACCCTGACCTCTGACCCGGTTCCTGACCCGTCCACTCAGGTCTTATGATGCGAGTTTCGTTGTGGTTCTGTACGATGAGGTTCTGTGGTTCTGGTTCCAGGTTCTGGTGGTCAAGGCGCGGTGCGTTTACCGGCGGGCGGTGACGTCCAGCGGTTACCTCGGCAATGAGCAGCGAGCCTTGTTCCGGGTGATGGACGTGCGGATGCTGCTGTACCCACTAGTGTTCGTGTTCTGCTGGGGTCCAGGTGTGTTCCGGTTCTGATCCGTGACACCCGCCGCTCAGCGGGGCGATGGTGTCTCGTTTACCCTGTGCGTTCTGTTTCAGCCGTGGCGTTGGCGTTCCTGCGGGTGGCGAAGCCGTCGACGGGTCACGGTGTGGCGGGCGTCTGCCTCTACATATCTGAGGTCAGCGCGCTGCACTCGGCGCCGATCGGGTTGCTCCGGGCCGATACCTGGAGCTCCAACTGATCAGGCTTCACGTTTTAATCAAGAGATGTTTTGGTGATTTTTAAAGGGCCAGTGTCAGATTTTCCATCATGTCACATTTATTGTTCATAAATATAACAGCAGAAATGTACCGTTAGTTCTCTGATCTCCATGGCGACCATTCAGCTGTTGAAACACCTGGGTAGACCTAGCCCCGCCTCCCCCACTCTGCTCCTTCAGACTAGCCAGCAACAATTAGCAAACAACTGCTGAGCTTGTTATAGGAGCTGCTGCTCAAAGCAGTGCTGGTAAAAACATTAAAGGGTTAAAGAGGAGCCATATTGGGACGACTTCCTGGAGGCGGAGCTTCTTAAAGAGACAGAGGCACAATTTCAAGGTGCTAAGTCAGGAAGTAAATTTTCCTTAAAGTCATATTTAATAGAATTTCTTTTACAACTGCAAAGTGTAAATGAATTGTTGGTAAAATCCAGATGTTTGGTTGAGGAAGTTTTATTTTGTGAGAGAAGTTTAAAAAAACAACAACAAAGAAACACCTACACTGTAAATAATGATTGGAACAGAAAACTGAAAGTTTTCAGCTGGACCTTCTTAAAGGGACAGAGATCCAGTTTCAAGAAGTAATTTTTATAGCACCTGAAGGTAACATAGTCAGAAAGTGAAAACACCTGATGCTGCCTCTTTCAGGTCACTTTGTGTTGTTTTTGTTCCTGTTTCTGTTCTTAAAGTGACAGTGTGTATTTTCTAGGCCTTCACTTCGGCCTCTCAGGGTTTCCTCAACTGCCTGGTGTACGGCTGGACGCGCCTACACCTCCGCCGCGCTGGCCTGTCCTTCTTCTCCAGAGACCTGGACACGCAGACGCCGCTGCTGCGCTCCCAGCAGACCAGGAACTATCTCACCTGAGGGGGTCAGGGGGTGAGCGGCTCAGCAGCGGGTGGGGGTGGGGGCTTTTCTGCTGCTTTCTGCCACAAAGACTCGAGGCGTTAACTTTCGCTTTCCACCGGAGGAAAAACTCCGCGGCTGCATCTTCCACCTCTGGTCCTGAACCACCGAGGCGAGAAAAGAGGAAGAGAGAAGGGGGTTGAGAAAGGTCGCTCAGTCGGAGCGCTGTCAGCGACCTCTGACCTCAGGAAGTGAAATCATCAGTTTGGACTGACATGCTTTTATTTTGAAGTTTTTCAGCTTATAAAATTGCTTCAGTGACCAGAAATTACCTGAAAGGTTTTTACAAACTGGTTTAATTTAGATTTTTAGTTGTTTCATTTATTTTGTGGATTTTCTTTCTGAAAGTTGGCAGAATAAATAAAACTGACTATTAAGTTTTTAAAAAATTAACACGAGAAAAGAAATGTGAACTGGAAAACATTGAATTATTCGAAAATTTTAAAATCCCAACAATCAACTGAATGTAAAATTTATTCACATTTTTATTTTTCAACTCTTTCAACTTGTTACAATTTTATTCTTGTTTTTACAACTTATTTTATTTTACTGTTCCGACTTTCTCGTGTTATTTTTTTTAACTTTATTTTCTCATTCTGACTGTTTATAATAATATTACTTTATTTTTGTAATTTGAAGAAAAGTTTGAACTTAATTGTTGCATTTATTTTTCACCTTTTCTTTGCATCTCAGCATTTTTATGTTTCAGAACTAATAAAAGTGTCAAAGATTATTGATGGAAAACATAAAAAAAATAAAATGAACAGTAAAAAGTCAAACTGGTCGTTTGTTAAAGATGACAAGCAGAGTTCAGATGCTTAAGTTTTGGAAAACTGAAATTTTTGATGAGTTTCTTTCAGTTTTTAATTTCTGTACGGTGTTTTGCTGCCCCTCCCCAGCCTGTTTCCATCAGAGCAGCAGCTCTTCCTCTGCTCTCCTCCTGGGAGCAAAACTTGCACAGTTTGACCAAAATCATGAAACCGGAACTTCAGAGACCCGCAGCTTCTCAAACTAACTGATCTCTGTTGGTTCTGTCCGTCTGGACCCGGCCGACCGGAACCAGAGTTCCTCCCCTTGTTGGTCCCAGTTCATCCCTGCTGGTCCCAGTTGGCCCCGGTGGTCCCCTCTCGGACCAGGTACTAAGTAGTCTCCAGAATATAAGGTGTTCAGAACCGGAACATGTTTTGGTTCTTAACCGGCAGGTGATCAATTTCTGTTGCTTTGCGCCCTCTAGTGGAATAAAAATGACACAACACGTTCAGGCTTCATGTTTATTATCAGAAATGATGGAAAATTCAGTGATTCATGATGTTGTCACAGGCATTGTGGCAGTTGTCCCCGATCAGCCGGTAGTTCGGGCCTCCGGCTCCAACAAGGTCCGAGACCGTCTTGGTTCCCCGGAAGTCCTTGAACTTGTAGACCTGCAGACAGGAAGTGGGTCCATCATGAAACAATTTCCGGAAGGAAGTTGCCAAAGATTTTTTATTTATTTATTTATTTTTTTTTGGAAGCTGCCAAAGAGCTTCTGTGGCGCTGCTCGCACATGACGTCACGGTTTCCCGGATGTTCGGACAAACAGCGCCGACAGAATGGCGACATCTGAATAGCGTAATGTTGGAGCGTAATGACGTCTCTGGAGCTTCGGTTCAAGATTCTCAGGTACAGAAGCTCAGTGAGGACAAACTTCACGATGGTTGAAGGCCACGTTGGTCCAGAGAAGCATTTTCCTTCCTAGCTAATGCTAACGCTAATGCTAATGCTAACTGGGCCGCCTGGTCCCGCTTGCCTCGGACATCGCCTCAGTATTGGTAAATATATCGATTCATTGTTGGTTTTTCTAGTTTAGTATCAGTTCAGAAGAAGATGAATGACATCCGGGTCCTTTACTGAATTTGGTGCTTTTTGTGTCTTTATCTCAAAGATTTCCATGTAATGCAAAAAACATTATTTGAGAAAATCAAGCACTGGTGATATCCATGTGTCCTGGTAATGCAACATGCAAACATATTTTAAAAATGATGTTTTGATAGTTTTTATGTGTTGTGGAGGTCAGCCATGTTCCCACTGTTAACTCTTCACTGAATATAAAACAAATACAAATAGCCAGAAACTGAAAGTTATTTATAATAACATAAACATTTTTATTATACTTTAACACAAAAAAAGAATTAGGATAAAACACATGAATTATTTATAAAACAGAACTTTTTAATCACGTCTCTCCAGTTTTGTTTAACCCAGTAACAACAAACCAATCCCTCTTTTTTTATAAATAATGGTTCAGTCCAATTTCCTGAACAACCCGGAAGTGACATCACTGCAGGCTCTTCCTGCTCCCACTGTGAAGATTTAAATGTTAGGATTTAAATGTCTTACCTATATTTGATTATTTCAATCCATAGATCATCAAGTTCAACCTTCCAACACCGTTTTGCATGTAAATTACATTTATTGTCTTTGAAACATGTATTAATTTCTTGTTTTCATCATATCATATGTTGCTGATGTGGACTTTTGACAACTTTTAGTAAAAATCTTCAGTCCGTAACGTTGGACTGTTGTTAAGCCAGTTGATGGGTTCATTTGTCCAAAACTAAAGTGGCTGCCATGCGCTGTTCCAAATTCAGCAGCTTGACGACTTGCAATCAGTATAAATCTGCAAAAAATCACATTTTTATTTAACGGACCTGGACGTTTCCATCAGGAACCTCAGAGGAATAAGCAGGTTGGAGGTGATGCTGCTCCGTCTGCTTCGTCTCAGCCTTGTTTTGTAGCCTGCTACAGCAGCCTTTCCAGATGCTACAAGCATCTGGAAACAGAGACTTTTCTCCAGAAACTCACCCTGTTGATCAGCGGCGTTTGAAACAAAAGAGCAGGTGGAGAAAAAGGAACGCTGGAAACAAACTAATGTGGAAAAATGGGCGACTTTTTCACAGAAACAAACTGGTGTTTAGTAACATCAAATGAGATGGTAAAAACATATGGAGGAGAAAGTTGTATAATTTAAGTATTCTCGTGATGTCCCATAAATGTCTTATAGTCAGAACAAACATGCAGCTTTCCCACAGTCACTGGTCTCAAAAACCAGTCCAAACTGGTTCTGGACTGGGGAAAGTCCGGCTTCTCGAATTTTCTCAATGTCAGCTAACAGTTGGATCCCAGAAACCCAACCAGTCAAAACAACATCAACCAGTCCTGACCACTAACACTTGGTGGCGCTGTTGTACCTCAGATGTTTGGTATGTTTGCTGCTCACCTCCCACCTGGAGCTCATGTGTCAAGCATCGGTCACCACCGTCTGAGAGAAAATCCCGTATCCGCCTCCTTTATGGATCAACCACTGAGATTGGTCAGCCAGAGTCACTCTGCAGAGAAACCACAAGGTTACAGAGCTGCCATCTTGAAGGTTACAGAGCCGCCATCTTGAAGGTTTCAGAGCCGCCATCTTGAGGGTTACAGAGCCCCATCTTGAAGGTTTCAGAGCCGCCATCTTGAAGGTCACAGAGCCGCCATCTTGAAGTGATGTGAAATTTACCTCTGATTGCTATAACTAACCTCACCACAAGATGGCGATACTTACTCAATACTGGCCCTTTAACTCCTGAAAAAAGACTCCAGAGAGAAAACCGGATTTGAAGCTGTTCTGATCACAGCTGATCAGTTCTGACCCAAACAGATCAGAACCGGATCCAACAACTCAAACCGGGTTTAAATTATAGATCTGAGAAAGGAACCAGGAGCTCTCAGGATCAGTTACCATGACAACACAGATGATACTCATCCCTAAATTACAACGTCACCAGCTGACCTTCGAACCCACCTGAGGACAGAAACGTGTGGATGGAAAGAAACAAAACTGAAGGTCCAGTCTTTGGACCTAAAGAGGAACAATCTAGAGTCATAGATCTAGAGTTATGAATCTAGAGTTATAAATCTGGAGTCAGATTCAGCTCGTCCGGCTGGAAACTAGAACTTAGGCTGACCTCTGACCTTCAAAGCCACATAAAGAAGGTTCCAAAGTTGGTCTTCCATCAGCTGAAGAACATTTTAAAGATCTGCTACTGCTGGATCAACCTTCCAGGTCTCCTGGTTCTGGTTCTGCATAGAAGCATTCAGCTTCTATGCTCCACAGATCTGGAACAAACTTCCAGAAAACTGCAGAGCAGCCGAAACACTGAGTTCCCTTAAGGCTCGAACCGTCTGGTTGGAGCAACAGAACCATGATCAGTGGAGCGTTGAGCAACATGTTGATTTTGATGGCACTTTGATAAGTTCTGGTTCCGTAGTTGATGACTGGATGTTTCCTGGCTGCTGAGTTGAGCTCCAGCTCCATCGGTTCTCCAGGATCTTTGCTAAACTTTACATTTATCAGGAGGTTTCAGTTTCACTGACCGAACGCCGCAGTGGCTGATGACTCCACATGTAAAAGGAAGGTTTCCCAGCGGCCGCCGCATCGCCTCCGCCAGGTGAACCCGCTTGTTGTAGAGGTCGGTCAGGTCGGAACCGGACAGGTCGTAGCTGAGGGGGCCGGTGGATCCTGTTGGAAAACAGTCAGTCGGGCTGCAAACCGCGGAGCGGTTCTGAAGGCGCCTCACCTCCAGACGACGACTCCACAGAACCGACCAGCAGAACCAGAGCGGCTGAACACAGCAGAACTCTGCAGAACATCATGGTGGACAGGTCTGTGGCCGGAGGTCCGGCCCAGCTAATAAAGAGTCCAGAACCTCCTCCCACTCGGCGCTCACTGGGCTTTTCTACTGCAGATTTCATAACAGCAGCAGAGGCTGAAAGTCCAACAGGCAGAAAAACACGAGCTGGTTCTGCAGAACCACCTCTAAGGAACAAACTGCAGCTTGTTGGATCTTTCAGGTTCATGTTATTCAGTCATTTATTAATGTCGGGTTCAAAAATTTTTTAGTTTGAAAACTAGTTTGTGTCTAAAACTGTTTTTAGCTACAAGCTAAATATAATTTTATTTTCCAAACAACGTTTTTCTCTTTACATTAAATATTTAGAGCTAACTGATTAGCTAAAATATTTATCTTGTGAATTGAATATTTGATTGGAAAATAAATATTAGCATGCTAACTAAGAATTCAGTTAAGCTAAATATGCAGCATCTTAACTACATTTTATTTACAAACTAAATATTTGGTTAGGAGCTAAGTTATTAGCTACAAGATCTAGCTTCTTAACTTTAGCTTTTGGCTAAATATTGAGCTTCTTACTAGCTAACTACTTAGTTAGCAAACTAAACATTTAGTATGGAGTGAAATATTTAGCCAATATTTTAGCAAAATATTTGATTTGTATATGAAACACTTATTTAGTTTTAAATTCATATTTATAAATGAATGAATTACATGAACCTCTCTGTCTTTCTGTCATATCAGGCTGAATAACCCAGATTATTTCTATTCATTTTCAACTAGCTTAGCATAAATCTGCTATAAATTTGGGTTGCAGTTCCACTCCTGTCCGCTAGAGGGACTCACTCACATAATTTACCTTCATTTTGTCTTTTGATGATTTCTCCTCTCTGCTGTTAAAGAAACGTAAAATGTGTTTATACTCCTCAGCTGAGCGATGATATCTGATACCTGTTCTGGTTCTGGTTCTGCTCCGGTTTTGTTCTGGTTCTGTTCTGGTTCTGTTCCGGTTGTATTCTGGTTCTGCTCCGGTTCTGTTCCGGTTCTGTTCTGGTTCTGTTCCGGTTCTGTTCTGGTTCTGTTCCGGTTGTATTCTGTTTCTGTTCTGGTTCTGTTCTGGTTCTGCACCGGTTCTGTTCTGGTTTTGCTCCGGTTCTGTTCTGGTTCTGCTCCGGTTCTGTTCTGGTTCTGCTCCGGTTCTGTTCCGGTTCTGTTCTGGTTCTGTTCCGGTTCTGTTCTGGTTCTGTTCCGGTTGTATTCTGTTTCTGTTCTGGTTCTGTTCTGGTTCTGCTCCGGTTCTGTTCTGGTTCTGTTCCGGTTCTGTTCTGGTTTTGCTCCGGTTCTGTTCTGGTTCTTCTCCGGTTGTATTCTGGTTCTGCTCCGGTTCTGTTGTGGTTCTGTTCAGGTTCTGCTCCGGTTCTGTTCTGGTTCTGTTCCGGTTCTGTTCTGGTTCTGTTCTGGTTCTGCACCGGTTCTGTTCTGGTTTTGCTCCGGTTCTGTTCTGGTTCTGTTCCGGTTCTGCTCTGGTTCTGCTCCGGTTCTGTTCTGGTTTTGCTCCGGTTCTGTTCTGGTTCTGCTCCGGTTCTGTTCTGGTTCTGTTCCGGTTCTGTTCTGGTTCTGCTCCGGTTCTGTTCTGGTTCTGTTCCGGTTCTGTTCTGGTTCTGTTCTGGTTCTGCACCGGTTCTGTTCTGGTTTTGCTCCGGTTCTGTTCTGGTTCTGCTCCGGTTCTGTTCTGGTTCTGTTCCGGTTCTGTTCTGGTTCTTTTCCGGTTCTGTTCTGGTTCTGCTCCGGTTCTGTTCTGGTTCTGTTCCGGTTCTGTTCTGGTTCTGCACCGGTTCTGTTCTGGTTTTGCTCCGGTTCTGTTCTGGTTCTGCTCCGGTTCTGTTCTGGTTCTGTTCCGGTTCTGTTCTGGTTCTGTTCCGGTTCTGTTCTGGTTTTGCTCCGGTTCTGTTCTGGTTCTGCTCCGGTTCTGTTCTGGTTCTGTTCTGGTTGTATTCTGGTTCTGTTCTGGTTCTGCTTCGGTTCTGTTCTGGTTCTGCTCCGGTTCTGTTCTGGTTCTGCTCCGGTTCTGTTCTGGTTCTGTTCCGGTTCTGTTCTGGTTCTGCTTCGCTTCTGCTCCGGTTCTGTTCTGGTTCTGTTCCGGTTCTGTTCTGGTTTTGCTCCGGTTCTGTTCTGGTTCTGCTCCGGTTCTGTTCTGGTTCTGTTCCGGTTCTATTCTGGTTCTGCTCCGGTTCTGTTCTGGTTCTGTTCTGGTTTTGCTCCGGTTCTGTTCTGGTTGTATTCTGGTTCTGCTCCGGTTCTGTTCTGGTTCTGTTCCGGTTCTGTTCTGGTTCTGCTCCGGTTCTGTTCTGGTTCTGTTCCGGTTCTGTTCTGGTTCTGTTCCGGTTCTGTTCTGGTTTTGCTCCGGTTCTGTTCTGGTTCTGCTCCGGTTCTGTTCTGGTTCTGTTCTGGTTGTATTCTGGTTCTGTTCTGGTTCTGCTTCGGTTCTGTTCTGGTTCTGCTCCGGTTCTGTTCTGGTTCTGCTCCGGTTCTGTTCTGGTTCTGTTCCGGTTCTGTTCTGGTTCTGCTTCGCTTCTGCTCCGGTTCTGTTCTGGTTCTGTTCTGGTTCTGTTCCGGTTCTGTTCTGGTTTTGCTCCGGTTCTGTTCTGGTTCTGCTCCGGTTCTGTTCTGGTTCTGTTCCGGTTCTATTCTGGTTCTGCTCCGGTTCTGTTCTGGTTCTGTTCTGGTTTTGCTCCGGTTCTGTTCTGGTTGTATTCTGGTTCTGCTCCGGTTCTGTTCTGGTTCTGTTCCGGTTCTGTTCTGGTTCTGCTCCGGTTCTGTTCTGGTTCTGTTCCGGTTCTGTTCTGGTTCTGCTCCGGTTCTGTTCTGGTTCTGTTCTGGTTCTGTTCCGGTTCTGTTCTGGTTCTGTTCTGGTTCTGCACCGGTTCTGTTCTGGTTTTGCTCCGGTTCTGTTCTGGTTCTGCTCCGGTTCTGTTCTGGTTCTGTTCCGGTTCTGTTCTGGTTCTGTTCCGGTTCTGTTCTGGTTTTGCTCCGGTTCTGTTCTGGTTCTGCTCCGGTTCTGTTCTGGTTCTGTTCTGGTTGTATTCTGGTTCTGTTCTGGTTCTGCTCCGGTTCTGTTCTGGTTCTGCTCCGGTTCTGTTCTGGTTCTGTTCCGGTTCTGTTCTGGTTCTGCTTCGCTTCTGCTCCGGTTCTGTTCTGGTTCTGTTCTGGTTTTGCTCCGGTTCTGTTCTGGTTCTGCTCCGGTTCTGTTCTGGTTCTGTTCCGGTTCTATTCTGGTTCTGCTCCGGTTCTGTTCTGGTTGTATTCTGGTTCTGCTCCGGTTCTGTTCTGGTTCTGTTCCGGTTCTGTTCTGGTTCTGCTCCGGTTCTGTTCTGGTTCTGCTCCGGTTCTGTTCTGGTTCTGTTCTGGTTGTATTCTGGTTCTGTTCTGGTTCTGTTCCGGTTCTGTTCTGGTTCTGTTCCGGTTCTGTTCTGGTTCTGCTCCGGTTCTGTTCTGGTTCTGTTCCGGTTCTGTTCTGGTTCTGTTCCGGTTCTGTTCTGGTTTTGCTCCGGTTCTGTTCTGGTTCTGCTCCGGTTCTGTTCTGGTTCTGTTCTGGTTGTATTCTGGTTCTGTTCTGGTTCTGCTTCGGTTCTGTTCTGGTTCTGCTCCGGTTCTGTTCTGGTTCTGCTCCGGTTCTGTTCTGGTTCTGCTCCGGTTTTGTTCTGGTTCTGTTCTGGTTTTGCTCCGGTTCTGTTCTGGTTCTGCTCCGGTTCTGTTCTGGTTCTGCTCCGGTTCTGTTCTGGTTCTGCTCCGGTTTTGTTCTGGTTCTGTTCCGGTTCTGTTCTGGTTCTGCTCCGGTTCTGTTCTGGTTCTGTTCCGGTTCTGTTCTGGTTCTGCTCCGGTTCTGTTCTGGTTCTGCTCCGGTTTTTTCTGGTTCTGTTCCGGTTCTGTTCTGGTTCTGCTCCGGTTCTGTTCTGGTTCTGCTCCGGTTTTGTTCTGGTTCTGTTCTGGTTCTGCTCTGGTTCTGTTCTGGTTCTGCTCCGGTTCTGTTCTGGTTCTGTTCTGGTTCTGCTCTGGTTCTGTTCTGGTTCTGCTCCGGTTCTGTTCTGGTTCTGTTCTGGTTCTGTTCTGGTTCTGCTCCGGTTCTGTTCTGGTTCTGCTCCGGTTCTGTTCTGGTTCTGTTCTGGTTCTGTTCCGGTTCTGCTTCGCTTCTGTTCTGGTTCTGTTCCGGTTCTGCTTCGCTTCTGTTCTGGTTCTGTTCTGGTTCTGCTCCGGTTCTGTTCTGGTTCTGTTCCGGTTCTGTTCTGGTTCTGCTCCGGTTCTGTTCTGGTTCTGTTCCGGTTCTGTTCTGGTTCTGCTCCGGTTCTGTTTCTGGTTCTGTTCTGGTTCTGCTCCGGTTCTGTTCTGGTTCTGTTCTGGTTCTGTTCCGGTTCTGTTCTGGTTCTGCTCCGGTTCTGTTCTGGTTCTGCTCTGGTTCTGTTCTGGTTCTGCTCCGGTTCTGTTCTGGTTCTGTTCTGGTTCTGTTCCGGTTCTGTTCTGGTTCTGCTCCGGTTCTGTTCTGGTTCTGTTCCGGTTCTGTTCTGGTTCTGCTCTGGTTCTGTTCTGGTTCTGCTCCGGTTCTGTTCTGGTTCTGCTCCGGTTCTGTTCTGGTTTTGAGCAGCTTTCAGAGTTGAACTTTGGTCTGATCTTGTAAGTCCAGATGTTCCTGATCTGCTTCCAAAGCAAAGAGATGCAAAAATCAGACCTGCTGACCTTTGACCTTCAGCTGGAACATTTACTCTCTGCTTTAACATCAAAGGTCAAAGGTCATTTTTATGTTCTCAGGTAAACATGAAAGAACATGCAGGTTGGACCTTTTGTTGCTTTTATCCTTTATTAACAACATTTCTACAAAATAATGACAAGAAAAGGAAAATAATTTATTCTGTCTAAATATTTCAACAACAGTTCATATTCATCGTTCTATTTTCCCACAGGAAGTTCCTGGTTGAGCAGCTTCCTGTCCTCAGCTATACAGGAAGTGGTCCTGATGGCGGGGAGCGACGACTTCCTGTTCGCCGAAGAGGCTGGAGCTGCTGGAGCGCACGCCGCCGACGACAGGGAGGTAGGAGTGATGGAGGATGGGCAGCTGCATGGAGAGCCGGCGCCGGACGCTGCAGAACCAGACAGAACCAAACTGGGTCAAACAGAACCAATCCGAACTAATCAGAACCTGTCCTATAAGCGTTGGTAATGAGTTGTTTGAGAAGAAATGAACTGAATGTTCAGCTGAACATTTTCCCTCCACTGTCGCCCCGTGCTTCTGTCTGATTGGCTGCTCTTCTGAAACATCGTTCACTGATTGGTCACAATTTTAATTTGCTTTTGGGATAACATTTTTATTTGTTTAATTGAAGTCAAATCATTTTTGGTATATTTGATCTGGATCAGTTTTTTTTTAAAGGTTCAGCACATCGTTTGTATTTCAGAGACAGGAAACAGCAGCAGATATCAGGACCGCTGAAACGTTTTCAATAAATGGGAACAGAAGTCGTCCAAGCCCTGAGGAACCCCCGCTCCAAGCAGCTAGAACAAAATGGCGGCTCTGTGATAAGAGTGAGCGTTGTCATGACGACGATGATGCTCACCGCTCTGGGGAGTTGACGTTCTCCTCAGCTGGAGGTCTCGCCGCGCCGCATCCTGAAGAAACGCAAGAGACTCGGGTCAGCAGCAGAAACGCAGCTTCCTGTGGGCGAGCGCGCGGCTGTTACCCGTTTCCTGCTGCGGCGTGGCAGAAAGCTCCACGGCGACGGTTTCAATCTGGACGTCCAGCTGTGGAAACCAGAGGAGACGCGGTTACACCTGCAGCCCTCAGCCGTTCACCTGCAGCCCTCAGCCGTTCACCTGCAGCCCTCAGCCGTTCACCTGCAGCCCTCAGCCGTTCACCTGCAGCCCTCAGCCGTTCACCTGCAGCCCTCAGCCGTTCACCTGCAGCCCTCAGCCGTTCACCTGCAGCCCTCAGCCGTTCACCTGCAGCCCTCAGCCGTTCACCTGCAGCCCTCAGCCGTTCACCTGCAGCGACTCACCTGGCTGCTTCGACTCCTCAGGTCCTGGTTTCTCCTCCTCAGATACTCAACACCCGTATCCGCCTGCTGCAGCTCCGACACCTGCTGCAGCTCCGACACCTGCTGCAGCTCCCCGGTGCCGCAGCTGCTGTTGCTGCTCAGCAAGCAGAGAACCTGCAGACAAAAGGTTAAGAAACTGGCAGCAGGATGAAGCTGAAGCCCGAGGAAACTTTCAATAGGGATTTAGCATTAGCTTTCAATACTGGTTTAGCATTAGATTCCAATACTGGTTTAGCATTAGCTTTCAATACTGGTTTAGCATTAGATTCCAATACTGGTTTAGCATTAGCTTTCAATAGGGATTTAGCATTAGCTTTCAATACTAGTTTAGCATTAGCTTTCAATACTGGTTTAGCATTAGCTTTCAATCGTGATTTAGCACTAGCTTTCAATACTGGTTTAGCATTAGATCTCAGTCATGATTTAACATTAGCTTTCAATCGTGACTTAGCATTAGCTTTCAATACTGGTTTAGCAATAGCTTTCAATACTGGTTTAGCATTAGCTTTTAATACTGGTTTAGCAATAGCTTTCAATACTGGTTTAGCATTAGCTTTCAATACTGGTTTTAGCGTTAGCTTTCAATACTGGTTTAGCATTAGCTTTCAATAGGATTTAGCATTAGCTTTCAATACTGGTTTAGCATTAGCTCTCAGTCATGATTTAACATTAGCTTTCAATCGTGATTTAGCATTAGCTTTCAATACTGGTTTAGCAATAGCTTTCAATACTGGTTTAGCATTAGCTTTTAATAGTGGTTTAGCATTAGCTTTCAATACTGGTTTAGCATTAGCTTTCAATACTGGTTTAGCATTAGCTTTTAATACTGGTTTAGCATTAGCTTTCAATACAAGTTTAGCATTAGCTTTCAATACTGGTTTAGCATTAGCTTTCAATCGTGATTTAGCATTATCTTTTAATAGTCATTTAGCTTTAGCTTTCAATAGTGATTTAGCATTAGCTTTCAGTCGTGATTTAGCTTTGGCTTTCAATTGTGATTTAGCATTAGCTTTCAATACTAGTTTAGCATTAGCTTTCAATACTGGTTTAGCATTAGCTTTCAATCGTGATTTAGCACTAGCTTTCAATACTGGTTTAGCATTAGATCTCAGTCATGATTTAACATTAGCTTTCAATCGTGACTTAGCATTAGCTTTCAATACTGGTTTAGCAATAGCTTTCAATACTGGTTTAGCATTAGCTTTTAATACTGGTTTAGCAATAGCTTTCAATACTGGTTTAGCATTAGCTTTCAATACTGGTTTAGCGTTAGCTTTCAATACTGGTTTAGCATTAGCTTTCAATAGGGATTTAGCATTAGCTTTCAATACTGGTTTAGCATTAGCTCTCAGTCATGATTTAACATTAGCTTTCAATCGTGATTTAGCATTAGCTTTCAATACTGGTTTAGCAATAGCTTTCAATACTGGTTTAGCATTAGCTTTTAATAGTGGTTTAGCATTAGCTTTCAATACTGGTTTAGCATTAGCTTTCAATACTGGTTTAGCATTAGCTTTTAATACTGGTTTAGCATTAGCTTTCAATACAAGTTTAGCATTAGCTTTCAATACTGGTTTAGCATTAGCTTTCAATCGTGATTTAGCATTATCTTTTAATAGTCATTTAGCTTTAGCTTTCAATAGTGATTTAGCATTAGCTTTCAGTCGTGATTTAGCTTTGGCTTTCAATTGTGATTTAGCATTAGCTTTCAATAGTGACTTAGCTTTAGCTTTCAATAGTGATTTAGCATTAGCTTTCAATACTGGTTTAGCATTAGCTTTCAATACTGGTTTAGCATTAGCTTTCAATACTGGTTTAGCAATAGCTTTCAATACTGGTTTAGCATTAGCTTTCAATACTGGTTTAGCATTAGCTTTCAATTCTGGTTTAGCATTAGCTTTTAATACTGGTTTAGCAATAGCTTTTAATACTGGTTTAGCATTAGCTTTCAATCGTGATTTAGCATTAGCTTTTAATAGTCATTTAGCTTTAGCTTTCAATAGTGATTTAGTATTAGCTTTCAGTCGTGATTTAGCTTTGGCTTTCAGTCGTGATTTAGCATTAGCTTTCAATAGTGACTTAGCTTTAGCTTTCAATACTGGTTTAGCATTAGCTTTCAATACTGGTTTAGCAATAGCTTTCAATACTGGTTTAGCATTAGCTTTTAATACTGGTTTTGCATTAGCTTTCAATACTGGTTTAGCATTAGCTTTTAATACTGGTTTAGCAATAGCTTTCAATACTGGTTTAGCATTAGCTTTCAATACTGGTTTAGCGTTAGCTTTCAATACTGGTTTAGCATTAGCTTTCAATAGGGATTTAGCATTAGCTTTCAATAGGGATTTAGCATTAGCTCTCAGTCATGATTTAACATTAGCTTTCAATCGTGATTTAGCATTAGCTTTCAATACTGGTTTAGCAATAGCTTTCAATACTGGTTTAGCATTAGCTTTTAATACTGGTTTAGCATTAGCTTTTAATACTGGTTTAGCATTAGCTTTCAATACTGGTTTAGCATTAGCTTTCAATACTGGTTTAGCATTAGCTTTCAATCGTGATTTAGCATTATCTTTTAATAGTCATTTAGCTTTAGCTTTCAATAGTGATTTAGCATTAGCTTTCAGTCGTGATTTAGCTTTGGCTTTCAATTGTGATTTAGCATTAGCTTTCAATAGTGACTTAGCTTTAGCTTTCAATAGTGATTTAGCATTAGCTTTCAATACTGGTTAGCATTAGCTTTCAATACTGGTTTAGCATTAGCTTTCAATACTGGTTTAGCATTAGCTTTCAATACTGGTTTAGCAATAGCTTTCAATACTGGTTTAGCATTAGCTTTCAATACTGGTTTAGCATTAGCTTTCAATTCTGGTTTAGCATTAGCTTTTTATGGTTTAGCAATAGCTTTTAATACTGGTTTAGCATTAGCTTTCAATCGTGATTTAGCATTAGCTTTTAATAGTCATTTAGCTTTAGCTTTCAATGGTGATTTAGCATTAGCTTTCAGTCGAGATTTAGCTTTGGCTTTCAGTCGTGATTTAGCATTAGCTTTCAATAGTGACTTAGCTTTAGCTTTCAATAGTGATTTAGCATTAGCTTTCAATACTGGCTTAGCATTAGCTTTCAATACTGGTTTAGCATTAGCTTTCAATAGTGATTTAGCAATAGTGGAACTATTGTGTATGGTTAGCATTTAGCATTATCTTCAGCTAAATAGTGTGTTGGTGTAGTGGTTTAGCAGTAGCGTAAGCGGTCTATGATTAGCGCGCTGGGCTAACGCAGCTAGCTGTAGTCACCTGAGGAGAGAATAGGCCCAGGAGGATGAAGAGGTTGCAGCTGAGGATGAGGATGCTGCACAGACAGAACTGGGCGGTGGGGTCACTGGAGGTCAGCAGCGACCCCGCCGCCCCGGACGCACTGAACCCGGTGAGCGAGAACATGCAGAGAGCGAGGAGCTGACCGCTGACCGGCCCGCTGACGGCGGCGCCCGCGGCCCGGATGTTCCAGGCCTGGAAGCAGCCCAGACCCTGAGGAGGAACCAGCGGGTTAGTTTAATCTGTTGCCATGGAAACGGTCTGCCGTCATGGCGCCATGAGGTTCTGACCAGCAGAGGAGCTTTGTATCCGCAGACGGCGGTGAGCCACATCTCCATGTTGGCGCTGCTGCAGCAATCAGAGGAGAACCGAACCACGACGTCCTGATCAGCCGCGACGTCCTGAGGAGAAACACAACTGACTAATAACTACTGGTTAGTCACTTACTAATTATTGAGCTACATAGTTAGTGCAATATCTAGCTTTCAAATTAAATATCTAGTTTAGAATCTGTATTTTCAGACTGAAACTGAATATTTAGCTTCCAAAGTAAATATTTAGTACCTTAAATATAAATATGGAGTTAAGCAACTGACTCAATATTTAGCTTTCTAATGAAATACTTAAACTAACATTTCTTTTTTTTTTAAACTTTATTTTTTTTTTTTTAACAACACATGTCCACAGTTGCATTCGTCTGTCTCTTACTGACATATATCTTCTGCATTATAACTTGACAAAAGATGAGACATCAAATGATCTAACATAGGCAATAAGGAATACATACCAGTACAAACATCACACAAGAACAACAAAATAAAATAATAAATAAATAAAAATACAAGACACACAATTAAATCCCCTCTGACATAGGATGGTCCTCACATTCTTAAACAGTAAGGTATTCTAACTGACCCATGGGTACATACAGGTGCCAACAAGCAATCCTGTAAGGGCGTCATTGAATTAGTAACGGTAAGACCGGGCTCCACCTTATATCAAAAACTGTTTTTTGAAGCCTTAAGGAATATGTGATTCCTTCCATCAGATAAATGTCCCAGATTTTTTGTATCCATGTGTTATATGTAGGAGGCCCTGGTTTCAGCCACCTGATAGTTATACATTTCAAGGCTGCTGTGAGCAAGATACTTAGAAGATATCTATCACCCTTCCTGTCTATTCCATCGGGTATTACTCCCAGAACTGCCACCAAGGGAGTTTTTGGAACATTTCTCCTGAAAATAACACTGAGAGCTTCAAAAATGTCCTTCCAGAAATCACTTAGTTTAGGACAAGACCAGAAGATATGCATGTGATTTGCATTCTGCATCCCGCAGTTTCTCCAGCATGAACTGGGCTGTGTTGGGCCCATTTTACTGGTTATTGCTGGCGTTCTGAAAAACCGGACTACTACTTTCCATTTGAATTCTCTCCATGTATTAGAATTTGTTGTTAAATGTGCTTCAGTACATATTTCTTCCCATGTGTCCCCAGCTATTGACTCCTGCAGTTCAGTCTCCCAATTATGCTTTATGTTTGTGGAATCGTGCACATTCATGGACATAAACAGGTCATATATTTTACTAATTACTTTATTATTTTCCTTTCCCCTTTGTATGTCCATTAGGAAATTTTCTATAGGAGTAGGTTTGTGAAGTTTAGTCCAATTGTTGTGTGTCGTCACAAAGGTTCTAAGTTGTAAATATCTATAAAAGTCCGTTTTAGGGAGACCAAATTCTTTCTTCATCTGTTCAAAGGTTTTGAAATGTTCATCATTAATTAATTGATGAATGTGAGACAGTCCGTAATTAGACCAGTTTTTGAAACCAGAATCTAAGTTGTTTGGTGCAAATGTCTTCATAGATCCTATACATGATAAAAGTGAAATCTGTTTGAATAACTTAAAAGCCAATTGTATTTTGTTCCAAATTTTGAGGGTGTTTTTTGTCCAGATTGTCATTTCCTTTACAGGAGTATCTAAGAAAGGTAATGCTTGCAGTGGTACTGAACACATGCTTTCCTCTATTCCCAGCCATCGAGTATCTGCACTATTCTGTAACCAATCCAATAAGGGCTTGAGTTGTGCAGCCCAGTAATAATATTTTAAGTTTGGGAGTTTGAGGCCCCCCTTAGATTTAGATAACTGAAGAGTTTTCAGTCTGATTCTGGGACGCTTCCTTTGCCAAATGAATCCAGTTATCATTTTATCTAAGGTGTCAAAGGTAGATTTGGGAATTTCCACAGGTAGCATCTGGAATAAATAGAGTAGTCTTGGTAAGACATTCATATGGATACTTACAACACGGCCTATCAGAGAAATAGGGAGAGTATTCCAACGGTCCAGATCATTTTTAATCACACGTAGGAGCTTGCTATAGTTTGCCTCATAAAGGTCACATAGAGATGGAGGTATTTGAATACCCAGATATTTGATACCATTCTTGGGCCACTTGAAGCCACTCTGTACTTTTACGGAGTCTGAAATTGTGCCATTTATGTCCATAGCTTCCGTTTTTTCTATATTGACTTTGTAGCCAGAGTAAAATCCAAATTGGGAGATGAGCTCTTTTAAGTGGGGGATTGTTGATTTAGGTTCAGTCAAGTACAATAATACATCATCTGCATATAATGAGATTTTGTGTATTTCCTTGCTGATTTCTATTCCTTTAATATTAGCATCATCTCTAATGATTTGGGCTAACGGTTCAATACTAATGGCAAACAGAAGGGGTGAGAGCGAGCACCCTTGTCTGCACCCCCGACCTAGTGCAAATCTATCAGACCTAAAGCCATTAACTTTAACTGCTGCCTGAGGGAAGGAGTAAAGTGTTTGCACCCAGTCAACAAAATGTGGACCAAATCCAAAACGTTTCAGAGTATGAATTAGATATTTCCATGACACTCTGTCAAACGCCTTTTGGGCATCTAAGGATATGATCGCTGATTTGATCATTCTTTCTTGTTGAACGCTTGTTAGGTTTAGCAAGCGTCTTATATTATGGGCATAGTACCTGCCTACAATAAATCCTGTCTGATCAGGATGTATGATTGGGTGATGAATTTGTTAAGTCGCCTTGCTAGGATTGCTGTGAGTATGCGTAAATCTGTGTTCAGCAGTGATATAGGTCTATATGATTGGCAGTCTGTAGGATCCTTGCCCTCTTTGTGAATTACTACTATAGTGGCTTCTGTCCAAGACGGTGCCATAGTTTTGGATTTTAAAGCATGATGATATGCTTTTAATAGCAAGGGAGCCAGGAGATCTATAAAAGTTTTATAAAAGTCATTGACAAATCCATCTGGGCCTGGACTTTTGTTGTTCTTGAGTGATTTAATTATCTGCTTAATCTCCCATTCCTCAATCGGTTGATCCAATTCCAAAGCCCCCTCATCCGTTAAATGGTTCAATTTTATCTTATTTAAAAATCTGTGAGCTCTTGGTCATTATTACAGGTATCAGTGTTCATATATAATGATTTGTAAAATTTTGCAAAGGCCTCTGCTATTTTGTCAGGTCTTGTCTCAACAGACTCTTGGGTTTTTATTTTATGAACCATGTTGGCGGACTGTTGCTTCCTCAGTTTAAATGCCAATAACCTACTAGCCTTCTGGCCGTATTCATAATATTTTTGATTAGTGAACCTCAAGTTACCCTCTACTTTATCTGACAATAGACTGTTTAGTTGTCTGCGGGTTGCATTTAATTCCTTCATGATTTTAGCTGAAGCGTTTCTTTTATGTTTGAACTCTAATTTTTTGATTTTGTCCTCCAAATCTTTTTGTTTAGCATCCTTCTGTTTTTTCCTCGCAGATGTGAAGGAAATGATGCGGCCCCGAAGGAATGCTTTGGCACAATCCCATATTATCAGAGGTGTTGTTTCTGTAGATGTATTAGTTTCTAGATATATCCTCAGCTCCTCTCTAATAAATGCGATGAATACTTTATCATTAAGCAGGGATGTATTGAGCCTCCATTGTTTAGATGTTGGCCTATGTCCCATTTTAATAAAACAGGTGCATGATCAGAAATAGTAATAGGTAATATTTCTATATCTATTATTCTATATAGTTCTGACTTTGGGGTAAGAAATAATCGATCCTAGAGTAGGATGCATGACTGCTTGAGTAAAAAGTAAAGTCTTTAGTTCTGGGAAATCTGCTTCTCCATACGTCTGCCATACCTGTCTCTATTATCTGATATTTTAGCATCCTACTCATTCTAGAGAGTGGGGTTTTTGGAGTGGGTAATCTGTCCAATATTTGTGACAGAGTACAGTTGAAGTCCCCGCCCAACAACAACAGCCCAGTACTGTGCTGCAATATTACCTTAAACAGTGACTCCTCAGGAGTCAGGCTCTCCTCAGGATCTCCACCGCGTCCCCGTCATGATGTAATTTAGCGATGATGACTCTCGGTGTCTCCCGGTTTCTGGGTCTCTCCGGTGAGTGTGCGTGTGATCGGTCCACCTTTATGTCTCGATCCAACTGCAGGACTTCTCTGATGATTTTTGCCACAGCTTCAGGGGAGCTGGAGCCGGCCGTTCTTCAATGCCGCTATGCGGATATTGGACCTTCTCATTCTCCCCTCTAGGTCTTCACATTTATCTTTGAGCGTCGACATTTCCTTTTGTAAGCTGGTTACAGTAGACTGTAGAGAAGTGATTTCGTCTGACCATGTTGATAGGCCACCCTTTAAATCCTGAACGTCCGTCTTTATAATATCCACTTCAGCTTGTATGGTCTTTGAGCTGTTAGCTATTTCGGAGCGGACCGCTTGCAGTTCGGATCTTATAGCTTGAAAATCTTCCGCTAATGCGCCTTTAAGTTCGTCTCTTATCACTTTAGCTATTTCACCTCTCAGTGATGATAGGATGTCCGCTTTCATTTCTTCGTTACACGTGTTTGGGCCCTCAGTCCCAGTAGTCGTCAGTGGGTCCCTTCACCTGTTGTCCGCTGCCTCGCGGTCCTAGCAGGCCTTGTAGCATTAGCATCGCTTCCGTGTCTATACTTTTGCAGTTTTTCGGCCATTCAGGAATATTATGTTCGGGTTGTCCAAATGTTTATGATCCTAAGGTTTTCTCTCCAGGTTTTCAACAGATATTAACGTGGTTAATGCTGTTTTTTAATGTAATTATTACGGATTTTGCAGGAGCTCCGAACAATACGTCCTACACCATATCTTGCTCACCAGCGCCCCCTAAACTAACATTTCTAAATGAATGAATGAACTTTGAAAATGAAACTCTCCTGTTTCTCTATTTTCAGGTTCTGACAGTGAAGCTTTAAAGGTCTGAAGACGTTCCGGACCGGTCCAGAACCGGTCCAGAACCGGTCCTCACCTCCAACTGGTGCTGCAGAACCTCTCGTCTGAGTGGGTCCAGAACCTGCCAGGAGATCAGAACCAGCAGGTCCAACAGGAGGATCCAGAGCTGAACACGGCCTGTTTTCTGCAGCTGGTTCTGGTTCTGGAAACACAGAGACGTCAGAATTCCCTCTGGACCCGCTGGACCCGGAGCGGTCCTACCTTCAGCTGGACGCTGCAGACGGCGTAGACCCTCCAGGTTCTGGTGAGCAGCACCGCCAAGCCCACAGTGTGACCCAGAGACAGAGTCCACAGGCGGACCTGCAGCACAGGAGCCAGCGGTTCTGGTTCTGGTTCTGGTCTGGACTGTTACATTGTAGTTCAGCTTTATTACATTGTGATGATTATTTGACATTTCTGCCAGATTTTGCCCAAATGTCTCAGTTTGTCCTGATAAAATTAAAATTATTCAAACAAATCAAACAATAAAACAAAACATAAAAACTAAAGAAGGCATTAAAACGATGAGTTTTTGCTTTATTATTACTGGTCGTGTTTAGATGGCTTCGTTTTAGTAGTTTTTATGTTCTGGTTTTATCTGTAACCTTTTGAATTATAACAGCTTTTCATCAGCTCTGTGTTGTGTGAATACGGGACCAGGAGACAAAATGTGGTTCATCTGTATGAAACAAAATATAAATAATCAGGAACCAGGTTCATGACAGGCAGTGCAGCACCTTACCAACATTTTACAGTTACAATGTTCTCTGTGAACCGACATCATCTCTCATCAACTGGCAACCAGGCGTCTGTTC